TACACAAGATGACACTGACAGTAATGATAGAACAGTGACATGAGACTGAATGCATGTTTCACGGTTTTGGTCTAGGTTGCAGAACTGGTACACCCCTAATAATTAGGTTTTTCTAACATTAGCCAATGTGTGAGAAGATTTGTATGACAGCGATGCTCATATAAGCAAAGTTGCTATGACAAGTTCCATAATTCTACAAAACTCAGTGAGTTCTGAGTCGTGTAAGCCAGCAATCAAAGAGTCTCTGAGATTTGTGGATGAGTTAGATGAGACATGGGCTAAAAGGGATGTAAGTTGTGTTGTCTCAGAAGCAAATATTTGGCATTCATGTGAATACTGCGTGAAAAATAGTGGTTATAACTGTGGACAGTTGTGAGGCTAGTTGTCAGGCTATATCGTACAGATGACATTTCAATTAAAGTTCATTGGAAACTGGGGCAATGAAATTTCCAGTAGAGTATTATACCAGCGCCAAATCTGAATGCTATCTGTGCCAGCTTTACACAAAAGGTAGGCCAAACATCTCTGTGTGGGAAGGAGCCAACTCTTACTCTTGCTGAACTACATTCTAAAACAACGTATCCCACACCTAGTTTCACACTGTAATAGAATCACACTGTTGTACCTCAGGCTTGGACAGCATCTGTTTTTTAATGTTTTTCATACTGTCCTGACATAGAATCTGAGCTGCTGGTGATAGTAGTTATTCTAGCATGTAACTGCCCATCAGCCTAATTCAAGTTTCTAGAAAAATAGTTTGTGAGACTATGTGTGGTGGAAACAAAGACTGTCTTTCCAAGTTTTATTGTCACATTTGCAAGCTGTTACAGTAACCTTACACAGAGTCTCAGGCTGAGATAGGGAACTTCTTCTTCCTAATAGCACGTTAATACAGTCGAGTTCACCTGTGACATCAGTTACTGCAGCTCTGCTGCTACACGAAGACTTTCTTGATGATAAGCTTCAAGACTACCTTGCATTGTTGCATAATAGGAACACTGCACACTTGCTTAATGAGAACACTCTGGCTATATGCAAGAATATTAGGTCACTTGCCCTGATCATGAAAATACACCAAAGTTGCAATGAGTAGTTATGTGCACAAGCCTTGAAGAAAAACAAAATTATCAAACCAAGCTGGATTTAGTCAATATGATATTTCTACACGCTGTTTTTGTTGGCTAAATGTCAAAGCAAACTTTATAGAAATGAGGTTGGCAAATCAAGCATTTATACTGTATTGCATTCATGGAAAAGTGGGATCCATTTTGGAACCGGTGGAGGAGGCGGAGGCAAGGTTGGTAGTGGGATTTCATAGAAACTTCTAGATCCCATTATCTCACATCACACACCACCCACCAACAGAGATGTATGGCTCTTACACATGTTCGTAATATAGTACCAGCAGTAAGCAGCGTTGTTTAGAGCTTTTAAGGTTTTTTTTTTTTTTAAGTCGCATAGTTATGTATATAGGTTGTAGGTAACACTGTCAATGTGATCAGCAAGAAACGTGACACCCTACCATAGAAGTAATCCTATTCCCCATTTTTCTCTCTAGCCAATGTGGTAATGGAAGGCATCCATTGTATCAAATAGTGCCAGTTCTGTTTTACTCGTTAGTGAAGAGATTATTCAGATTTGGTTCCATTTCTTATGTTTGTTAGTGGAATGTAAGACATGGGTGTGGAGCAAGTTACCAACAGCCTGCCCAAGTTAGTGGCAAGAAACCACGAACATGACTCCCACATACCTGATAATCTTGCAGTCCTAATACACCTGCTGGATAAAACACAATACTTGTAATCACATGCCATGTTCATATTCACATTCATACAGACAAAACTTCCATTTTGCTCTCCTCCACAAACAATGTTACACAGACATTGTGACAAACCCAAAAACTGTCTTTTACCTGTAGCATGCTAACCTGATTTTGCATGGTATTCCTTATCTGGGCATGATCTCCTTGGCCACGACCCTCACATCATTTTTGGCAGTAGAGAAGGCTTCAAACCATTCAGAAAACACATTAACAATCACAAGACAATACTTCTTTCTCTCACTCAATGTTAAAATCAATCTGTGAATTACCAGAGGGTTTGTTAGCTAGTGGGTTAGCGCTGAGAGGCATTTGCTGGCCTCTATCAACATTGTAAATGGTGCCACCAAGCACTTTAAACACAATTTTTTGGAATAATTTGTGAAACCTTTTGTAAACCACTGTCTTACAATACCTGCCTGCATCCCATCCCTTGACAGATGGTCATGACCATGTGACACCTTCACAAAGAATGGAAACTAACACTTCAGAAGACACGATTTATCATTAGGTCCAAACCATATGCCATCTTTGACACAGGCCTGTGACTTTTTCCAGAGAGCCTTTTCATCTTGTGTGGCTCTGCTCCGGAGTTCCTTCAAATCAGACGTAGGTGTAATCGTGTCAGTCAAAAGTGCAGAAACAAGTTGTGGTTTAAGAAGTTCCTGTTTGGTGGCAGCTGCGTCTGCTTTTGGGTTCCTTGTAAAACTGCATCAGCTTTGTTTGTGTGAACATTATATTTGCATACAGCCTCCAGTGATTTAGCCACAAGCTTGTGTTGAGATATGGGTTTGCCTGTGGATGGCAGAACTGGTTCTGCTTCCAAAGTGTGCCAAAATTGTGTATCCATTCAAAAGTATAGAAGCTATCTGTATAAATGTTAACAGTTTTGCTATCAGAATGTCTGCATGCTTCTGTTAAAGCTTTATGTTCTGCTGCTTGTGCAGAGTAGTTACATGGAAGTGGTAAAGCTACAATGTCATGTTGGGTCACAACTGCAAACCCTGCCTGCAGGGCTGCCAACTTTTCAAAAAACCTTGGAGTGAGATTCAGCGGGGCCGAGGCACAATTACGTTGTTTAAGCCGACACATAAAATTTTTGTTTGTCAACTGATTTGGTAGATGCGATCCTGATCCCCCGCATCCTAACAGATTTTTGGGGCGCCTGCTGGAGATGGATAGGGCCTAAAACCTTACATACAAATACCATACAGAGAGAGACAATGGTGGTATGGTGCTTCTTTGGCTGCTGCTACAGCTCTTGGGCACCATGGCAAAACTGATGCTACAGAGTCAAGAGTCAAGAGTCATTGTTTACCCCCATGGTCGTGTCACAAAACAAATGTTATGCAGCCATTTTTTTCATCCACTGTCTGAGTGGGTTTAGTCATGTGTGGTTGTCCATGTAGTTTGCAAAGGAGTTTATAAGTCAACACAAGGCTTTCTCAGCTTTTTCCATCCAGGTCACCTGGAGTTATAGAAAATGTGGTGTTTCTAATTTCTGCCACCAGTGGTCTTCCTCACACTCCTTCACTCATAGTCCCTGGTTCAGTCAATCTGTATGCGGAGCATTGGCCAAAGAAACTTGGATTTGAGCAATTTACACTGAAAAACTCCTGAAGTTTGTCTTGTATCTGTACACCAACAGCAAACATTTCATCATTCGAGTATAACTAATCTGTTCCTAATCTATCACTTTCCTTTCCTCTAAACCATTTCTATCCATATGCATAATCTAACCCTAATGTGTCACATTAGCTGTACAGTGTAGTGAGGCTGCATTCATGAAGTCAGTAACTCCCTGTGTCATGTGCGTGTAAGCCTAATGTAGTAGAAATCTATTTATAGCTCCAGGTCCTGTGTCAGCCAGCTCCCACTATTACACACAACAGTTTTGCCTGTAGCTCCTACTGTTTTCATGTATCAACCACTTCATTTGGGTGTTGGAGTAAATCAGTACAGTGAACTGTTGATTCTGTAGCTCCAGAATCAACCAAAAATGTTACTGTCTGTCCTGAGATCTTAAGTATCATTGTAGGCATGGCCTTATATGCATCACATGATAACATATTAAAAGTTGGCACTGGTTTTGCACTTTGTTAAATCTCAGTGGATGTTGTTGAATCTTTAATTAATTGTAATTGTGTGTTGGCTCACTACTGTGTGTGTCTGTGTGTGGTTTTGGTGTTCTCACGTGTCTGCTGTCTTCACCTTAACTCCCACTTATCTCTGGCTCCACCACTAGTCAGTCACGGGTTGGCTTGTTCGATGATTGATTCTTTGGGCAGTTGCCACAGGTAAAGCATCCATCAAAGTTGATGGATGCTTCACGTCCTTTGCCACATTCTTTGCCACATCTGCGTTCCTCATAGGCTTGTATTTGTGCCATCAGTACTCTTTCAGCTGCCTCTTCTTAGGTTCTTCTGCCATTAGCTTCTCTGTCGGATTCTTTGCTGCAGCCTTCCTGTGTCACATTCTATGCAGTGAGTTCACAGTGCTCACTGACATGAACTTAAATTTCTGGTCTAAGTCCTTGGACGAATCTGTCTCTCAGATGTGCTTCCCATGGACTCAGTGGTACCAGTCTAAGTGCATTTGGCTGTCGTCAGGACAGACCACTGTGTGTCAGGGGTGCAAGGTAATCTGCAACAGTCTCTTCCAGACCTTGCTTGCAGTTTAAGATTTTTTTTTTAAGATGCATAGGTGTCACAAATAGCTTTTCCATTCTGCTGAACAGATCCTCCACCTGGGTTCTGTATGGGTTGTCTTGCACCCAGCGATAGCTGAGACTATATCGGGGAAGTTGCCTTAGACTTGGCTTCAATACAAACTTTCTTGGAGTTATTAACTCTCATTAACTCTTGCGTAGTTGGCATTAACTGATGTAGCAGTATGCTTAGCTTATGACAGTCTCTTCTCCTCCTACCTTGTCGATCTTTGGGAGGCCCTGAGCAACCTTTGTCATGTCATTCAAAGCCCATGGTCTTGTCCATGTCCATGAGAAGGTCAGGCTGGTGAGTTGAGGTCGCTGCTGCTGCAGATGTGGATGAGGAGTAGGAAGGCTCCAGCAATGCTTTTGATCAAGTCATCCAAGTTGCTCAGTCTCTATTGCATTTGACACCACAGATTGTGAGAGTCTTCCATTGCTGCTGCTGCTGCTGCTGCTTGGTTTTGGGTTGGAATGGCTGCTGGTGTGGAAGCTGAATTGTGGCTGGGCTCTGGGCTAGAGCCGGTGCTGTATGCAGGAGGTGGAGCGCTGGCTGCCGGGTTTGACACTGCCAGTGGAGAATACTGTGGTCTGCTTGGCGGCCCTGATGTAGCTAATGCTGATGGAGGCAATGCCACAAAGCTACGAGGTGGAGGGGAGAGCAAGTCAGGGTCACCTGAATATGTGACACTGAGAATACATCGTAGATTTCTCTGTCCCTGCCTGTCTGCATCTGTCCCTGCATCTGGTTTCTTCAGTCCAGTCACCATACGAATTCTTGTCAGATTTAAAGGGTACATACCATTTCCTCTCATTTCCTTTTAATTTATCCATCTCCCCTTGACTGGTCTTTTCCTTCATTTCTCACCTACCTTTTAATGTTTCAACTGTCTGGGATTGCATCAGTTTAAGAAAAGAGTTAAAAAAAAAATGAAAAAATCATACCCTCAGAATTTCTAAATACCCTAGTATACCATAATACCTTCATGATAATAATATTAATAAAACATTTCATTCATAGAGCGCATTTCATGGTAATCAAAAACACTTCATATAATTTAAAATGATCATAAAAACATGACACGAAGGTTTGCACCAGGTTTGTCACATGTGAAGTAGTTTGTATGAGGGGTTCTCCAGAAAGCTGTAAGCAGGTATACCACAGGTTAAACCATCAACCGGTTACAAACAGGCATGTTTTGAAACACCAATGCATTAGTTCCATGAAATTCCAGGACTCTGGTGTAAACAGTGACTTTGGTGTAAATAATATTGGCCTAGTCAATAGTCCAGTCCATAGTTTGGCTTTAGGGCTGGAACAGGTGAGAATTTTGCTATCTTCCTGAACACAGTAAAGCATTTAGCAACTGAAGAGACAGATATTTCTCTAAGGAGTTGGTAGACACCAAAAACAGCACTAAAAGCATGTGACTTTGGACTCAACGTCATCAGGTGAACACAAACAACATGTCAAATGAATTATGTTTGAACCTGTTTGCTCACAGGTTAGTCACATCAACTCTATAAGGAGATAATATGCAAATGTTTGGTTACAGTTTGTTCTGCTGCCACCGATGGCCAATTAATTAATGCAGCTTTTACGAGCTCAATTTGATGAGTGAAGTAATTCATTTACATGTTCTGAAACAGTTCTGACTTGAATGATGACTAACTTTCATCTATTTTATTAAAAAAAGTAACATCTGTAAGATGCATGTAGACTTTTGCCGGTGTGTTCAGTGATGGGAGAGGAGTGAGTGTGGCAAGGCAGGTTGTGAGGAGGGAGGAGAACAAGAGGGCTGACAGACAATAAGAGAGCAGGGAGGAGCAAAGAGGAGACAGATCATCTGAGGAGAAGGAGGAGAGGATGATGTGAGGTAAACTTGTTGATATCAGGAGCCCTAACATCACAGTCTGCGTGGAGGAACAGTATTTACCTAGTGTGCAGCTTCTACCTGAGACATGGCAGGGTTGTCAGCCATCATATTACTGCTTCATCTGTCTGTTCTGGTGAGTTCACAACTGTCTGTCTATGTGTGTGTCTGTTTGTATGAAGGGAGGGGGTCCTGGGAAAAAAAATTATGAAAAAAGGCTTATGAACTAAAAACAAGTAAAAAGGTGTGGAGGTGAAAATACTTTATTTCACTCTTTAAGTTCACATAGCCCTTAGGTTGTACAGTTATAAATTTCCTCTTATACTGGTATTAGGTCACAATAGGTTCTGCACATTCTGCGATCACTTGCATCTAATCTTCTATGAGGCTAATCTCCATCCTAACCCTCACTGTACATTCAGCCACACTGAACCTATACCTTTATGGCTCTGTCTGAGGGTCACAGTAAGGCGCCATCATAGATCATGGTCACACAGTGGCCCACAGAGGGTCATCAAAGAGTCCTGCCAAAAGGTGAAAGACGAGATGAGATGAGAATGTCAGTGAACAGATTTTTTTCTTTATCAGTAGTTCCCTCAAGGCGGCAGTGAGTGGTATGTATGTGCAGTAAATCATCTTGAAAGAATTCAAGCATGCAAACCAACTGCTTCTTTGTGTTTCATATCTAAGGAATGTGACATTTTCAACACGACTGACAAGGCGAGAATGCTTCGGTGGCCATAAGCCAACACACACACACGATGTCTGTGGCATGGTTCGGCAAGCGTGGTGTATATGCAAATCAGAAAAACTTGATTGTTCATCATAAGGAAGGAGTTTGCCTTTGTCCTTTGTCTTTTTGTAGCTCATTCATAAAACAGACTGAAAACTTTGTCTCATTAGATAAAACAGTTAACAAAGTTTCCCTCTGGGGATATAATTTGCAGTTGAAAAAAGGTTATATTGTGATTTAAGTAAGATTGTAGTGTGGGATCTCTGGTGATTTCCACCCCTAACAGTGTGGGCAGTTTTGAAACCTGAGCTGAGGTCTAATCAGACAGAATGAAAACAGCTGCTGCTTTGTGGCCTTTATCTTTGAAAATGTTTGACCTCGCTATACATTATATATTCACAACTATTTTAGACAACACAATGACAAATCTCCCACGGGATGGAAGGATAGCTCTAAATCTAATAACTACATTCCCATAAGTCTTAGCTGCAGATTGAGCTTCATGTTAATATGTTAAAAAGCTTTTAATCAGCAAGTTAACATGATTAACGTTAGCATGTGAACTGAACCTGCGGAGCATGTTAACGAAGAGACCAAATCTGTACTCTGCACTGACTCAAACCTCTGTAGCTAAAATATTAGGTAGTAAAATTTGCTAGTTGCTCTCATTACCCAGAGTTTAATCTAGAGCATAAACATTTGTATCAGAAGGGTCCGTTATACTCTATGTTACAGGAAATAATACTATAAAATATGAAATGCTATGGTGGATAATAACTCCTCCTCGGTCAAGAGATGCAGTTTACCACAGCAGTGCATTTTGGTAATCAAACATATCCAAATTACAGCACCTGTAAACAAGACAGGCTAAATGAATCCAGTAGGTAATGGAATTGACAGCATATAATAGTATGCTAAGGTGTGTACTGTATACAACATGAACTACTGTGGCCAGCTCACCTTTAGAAGGTCCAAAATAATTTGCTAACAAAGAACAGTCTCACAAGTTATAAGGATATAAAAACTTTAAGGGAACAATGAGCCAGGGTTAAGAAAGGTGATGACTTGGTAAACAGCAATATCCACTGCCCAGGAGAACTGGTGTGGTTGTTCGCCCTCCCTACAAGATAAAGCCTTTTTATTTTAGGACCCCCATGTCCACAATGTCACACTCAGTTCAAAATGTGAAAATACTTTATCATTAGTTTGCTGATCACAATCCTGCTCCCCAGAGGAAGAACCCTTTACATTTAACTGACCCCAAAACCTTGCTTTTAGCACCACCCCCAGGACAACAGCACACCATCTACACCACTGTCAGCATCATGTACTGACAGGGTGTAACACTTTAATAATGGTGAATGAACACTGCAGGATGTATGAGCTGCTGAAGGAGTGTCTTATCGATACTTTTTGAGGAAGAAAAAAAACAAATTAAGAACATAAATTGCTTTATCTTCTCAATTCTCATTATGCAACAAAATAGTTTTTTAACAAAACATTACATATATTACATAAACATTGGGTACCAAAATTGGGACCCACGGTACGATACCAGTGAAAGTTTCACGGTTCTGAGTAGTATCACAATACCACAGCAAAAATGAGGCAGATGTGCCTTTTGTCATTTATAAAAAGATAAATCACTTTTCTATAATACATCAATGATATTTCAATGGAATAAATTACTTATTGACTTATTCATACTTCAAAAACAGTATCAATAAGTGATTAACATAGGGGGGATCAAAATAAAATAAATAAATGAAATAAAAATCAGCCAGCCACCCTCCTCCCCTGACAAGAACAGTCCCTTCATAAGTAAAGAACAGTCCCTAAAGTGCGGTGAGGTTTGTGGACCGTTACTGCCACAAAGAGAGAAATGTGAACGGCTCGTTTCCCCTCTGACACGCCACATATACCTTTGTGCCGCCACGGCTGGGCTCGGCTGTTCAGGTACTTCTGGACAGTCATGACATCAACAAAGAGGAAAATATTGGACCTGGAGTCGGGCTTCTCCGTCGCCGGTAAGCCGTTAACTTGCACCGCAGAGCACTATGGCTGCCGTATTTGACAGGAATACGTATTCCTGTCTGTGTCTGTGACCCCCGTTCAACCCACAACCGACAAGATTTGCCTGCTGCTGGATGAAATCTGTACTCGCACAGCGTGCTCCTGAATGATTTCTTTTACTTGCACAAAACTATTTTTAGTCGCAAATGCAGTAAAATGCTCGCACCGTAGAGCTCTCACGAAAACAAATCACTGTAGCGTATATAAACAAATCTAGCCTACAAGTAAAAATATTAGGTATTCTAGATATGTTAGGTATTCTAGGTATTTTATATGGTGATGTAACATTAATCACTATGGATATATAGACCAGAGGGGGGGAAATCCCACGCACCCAGCCCAGGCTATAATTATGGTTATATTCATGTATTTATAAGTATATGAAAAATACACAAATAAAATCCCAAATCTGAAACCCTATTTAGTAAATAGGGTCACAAAATAGCTAATGGTTATTAACTCCACGTGTTGGCTGCTAGCATAATGTTACAAACCTGGACTGGACGTAGATGAACTAGCTGTGATAGGGCAGTCAAACACTGTACATCTTTCTATCTGAATATGATGCACTTTCGCAAGGTGTTTTGACAAATTACTAGTGTTGACACCCTTACACCCAAAACATTCGTCACACTTGTCACACGCGCTGTGTCTGCATCAACTCTTGTAATGTAAAGCCACACTTTTGACCGTTTGGCTCTCTCCGCCATCATTATCTATCTAAAGGTAGGCTACGAGCTTGAGTTGGTGTATGCGCTGTCTTGTGTGTGTGTGTGTGTGTGTGTGTGTGTGTGTGTGTGTGTGTGACTGGAACAACAGCCCCGCCCCCCTGCTCTCCACTCACACACAGCAGGCAGCCAGGGTGAGCGAGACAGATCTCTCGTCTTCAGGGAGAATAGCGAAAATTATGATACAGTGACGGATAATTGATGGAGTTGGTGAGATAAATGTGCAAGATAATGTTTATCTTGTAAAAAAAAAAAAAAAAAACCGCAACTGCTCCAGTACCGACAGCAGAACCGTTATGGTCAGAGCTTATCAATACTGCGTTCTTGAAGAATGCAGCCCCGGGGCTCGTTCAATACCAGGGTTCGGTACCCATCCCTAACAATAACTGACCTGAAAACAGACACAAAAAGTTACATGTATAGAAGCAACACCACAGTCACATGTCCTCTTCTCTCTGCAGCTGTGGGGGTGTTTGGGAGACAATGCAGCCAGCGTCCCACAACTCAGACGCCAGAAGAGAGACTGGGTTGTCCCAACGAAGAAGCTTTTTGAGAATTATGTCTATCCTCCAGACCAGTATGTTGCCAGGGTAAGAATGGGATGAAAAATGTGCTGAAATTTCAGACTGTGTATTAAATGTGTTGTAAACACACAACTAATAACAACTACAGATGCATATGTTTACATGTTGATTCAGTTACTTGTACAGTCTGTATTAAAAGATGTATTAAAGGGATGAAGGGCCCAGATTATTGTGCAACACCACTGCTAACAATCCTGTGGGCTTCCTCATGTGTTTGACTCAACTGAAGCTCTCAGTGAGGCGGTGTTACAAACATATCTTAAAAATCATTTGAATAACATCATTGGTTAAAAACACTGAACATGTCCTCATGCCAAAAGCTTGAGTGTTTATGCATCTCTCTATAATGTTCCCACACTGACTCACTGCAGGACTTCACCGAGGTAAAATAACACTTAAACCTGCATGACAGATCTTGCTTCATTATAATTCGGCAGGAGACCTGAAATAAACTGAACAAAGGGGTAAGGAATCGGGGTACAACAGAGAGAATTTGTGTAGGTTGGAGTGTGTGTGTTTGTGTTTATCTGTATGTGGGGCGACAACATAAGTGTGTGCTAGGCACGCACACGCTAGTGTAGCACCTGTGAGGCTAAACAGCTCTATAGGACCAGAGACTAGGTTAGGAGGAGCAATTAATGAACTGACCAGCCAGGCAGCTAAAGACCACAGACCAGGAAGTAAATTTAAATGCCGGCTTGTTTATAGAAGATTAGTAGTAATAGAAAAACATACATTTGGTACCATAATACACTTCACTATTTAAAGAGTCGATGCTCACAGAGGCCGCCGCAAGCGTCGGTCGCGCTGCCATGTTTTAAATGTAAGGGTAAGTGGGAGGGGAGGTCCCTACACATACATACATACATACATACATACATACACTCTCCATTAAACCCTTTCTCCCCTTTTTGAGTTAACTCTGTTCTTTCAACCTATTTTTTTATACTTCGAGGTGGTTTAATCTTACTCTAGTTATTTCTCTTACTCTCAGTTTTGTTATTTGTTTACCTTAATCAGAAAAACAGTATGTTCACAGTAACACACCAAACGGTATCACCGATATCTCAATACAAAATAAAACTTGACATCAAATTTACACTCAAAATCCACTTGTTCAAGAGCACAATCAATAATTCTGATTTCACAAGAAAGAAAATAGTCTTTTAGTTAAGGCTTTTTAACAGTCCAGTACATCCACTGCAGCAATCAGTGAAGCAAATATCCCAGTCCTACCACTTTTCCGGTGAAACAGAGCATTGTCCTTATCTGTGGGGTGAAGTTCACTGAAAACGCTGTTGATCCAACGATTCCTCCTGTGGGTGGCTCGCCATCTTGTTTCCACAGCGTGGGAATGCAAGACCGACTAAAGGTTCATTCTCACTGCCGCGATATGGATTTGCAGAATATTCACGCAGCACTTTTCCGCGCTCAAAACATACACACAGGCGCGGTACGGACACGGTGCGGAATTTTGCGTTGTTGTGTTCCAATTCCGCGCAGTGTGAACGGGTGTGGGTGAACATGGACGAGAGTAGAAGCAGCAGCAGCAGCAGCAAGCTAGCAAGCTAAAGTTTAACAAGCGACAACATCAACTTTCTTTAGCACTTACCACTCTCACCGCAGCCACCAAGCTGGACAATGGACTGCCAGACGTTGTCCTTTAATTCATTGTTCATAAAATCATCCCGAAACGAGGTTTATCAACCTTTCTCCCATACTGTCCTGCCTGGCTGGATTTCGGACTCTACCGGGTCTGCGCAACCAGGGCCATACGCAGGATTTTTGAAATACTGAGGTCATTTAGTCGTGGTGCACGTGGGGGGGTCAGAAATTTTTGTCAATTATATATCAAAAGCATTCAATCTGGTGTACTTTGACAGCCAAATTAAGAGGCTACATCTATAAAGAACTACACACATCATATTAGAATAATCCAATATTATCATGTTTCTCTTCCCACTTCATACTATAGCGAAATTGCCTTTCACCAAACTTTGTTTGTGGGTATTTATAATTATGTTTGAACCACTTATTCTTTAGCAGGAAGTACTTCTCTTCATCTGTCAGTTGTCAGTTATATTAATTTTTATATCAATGAAAAAAACAATCTGTGTGACTAAATTCTTACATTTTTACATGTATCTCACCATAGCAAGTTGGAAGTTGACATATTCTGCCATATATGAAGAGGGGAGACTCTCTGGAATCTGGCATTATAAGAACCATGATGCTGGGACATTCTGTCACTTCACATTTGTCCAAAACATGTGGTTTGTGCCAGGCGGACATGATTGCCAGTATTTTTTCATTATTGCAAGAAATTCCATTGACTCATTCACAAGTCAAAAATGTGTTTCATTTGAAATAAACATGCAATATTTACATCTAAGATAACAGAAAAATAGTCAACCAAGTGCAATGATGTCCTCCAAGATAATATTTGCCACTTTGCAGTAAAAAAAATTCTGGACGTTTTCTTGTCGCCATGATCTTGACTTACTTCTCTGTGCTCTGTGCTGCTCTTTGGCCTGACCTGAACATTTTTTGTTGTTGTTTTTCAGTTTCAGTTATATATTGGGGGAACATTTTGGGCATTGGGGGGGTGTCCCTCAATGTATATGGTAACTACGGCCCTGTCAGCATGCATAATTAGGCTGCAGTTGTCTGGGTGCGCAAAGGTGAAGTGCACTGGTCTTGTCATACAAAGTTTGATGGAGTGTCAACTGGACAATATGGAGATATTTGCATCTTGAAAGCCGGACTACAAACGTGGATAGACAGGGAGAAACACATGCAAGCCTAAGACGTGGTAAGATACGATATTCCTCACTATATGAAGTGACTGATAACAAGATCTGTATAATGGATTGTAAAGAAATTCGTCAGGTTTTTATTTTGTAGACAATTGATCTGTATTTATAGAGTGATGGGATGACAGCACAATGATGTGTGTAGTATCCTCGGAAAGCTCTGATCCTGCACTTTCATATGATATGTGTGGCATTTCTGTGCGACCCTGCATTCATGAGTCGAGCTGCGTCGATCAAACAAGAGTACCAGAATTTTCTTTTTTAAATAATTGTTATTATAGAGAAGAGAGAGTCACTCAATCACCTTCCATCGGTCCTCCCACGTACTTTCACCGCACAAATGAAATGGTTTATTTTTATTTTCATTTTATTCATTCATTTAGGTCGGGAAAAAATACCGAGGTCATGACCTCGGTGTCCTCAATGGTAGTTACGGCCTTGTGCGCAACGTCACTATAAACAAACAATTTCATTGGCCCAGCTGTGTAATTCTGCTGGGAACCCATGAAATCAGCTTTTATATTTTTCCGCGAGAATAATCCGCACGAATTTTCGCCCTCAATGAGAATGGACTTTTAGTCTTCAACCCGAAAAAAATGGCCTGTTGTTTAACAGTGCAGTAACGTTATACATAAAAAATAATTAAATCATCTTCCTGCTAATTAGCTCAACTGAAAACTTGAATAGTTTCACCGCTAAAATACAGGCTTTAGGATACGTTTCACACACACACACACACACACCGCATAATGGCGGAGTAATCAGATTACTACATAGCTGATGCCATATTAGCTTGTTATATGTAGCTTCTGCTTCAATTTCCAACAACATTTACAAACACAGGATTCACAGCTTAGCGTTTCCACCGTAACTTGGTTATAAGGAGATAAATTGAATGGTTTACAAGCAAACAAGTACCCAACCGACGACACAGCAAAAGAAACAATCAACTCACCAAGTTCCGTTCAACCCAACAACATAAAATCCTCGGCATGGAAACCGTGAAAAAGGTAAAGCAAATTGTCCAAAAACTTGGAAAGAACAATGGTTACAGCATCCAAATCATTCAAATCTATCAGTTTTCTTCTTCTTTTATCTTTTATTCCTCCTCGATGAACAGAATCGCTGTGCTCTTTCTCTCTCTGCTGTCTCTGACTATCCGCTACGTGGAGCTCAAGCTTACCGACTGGCTGTTGCAGTTACATTGTTAAAGGAGCAGTACAACTATGTTTAACCTTGTAAACATTTTTAACATCACATTAAACATGAACTTAAATTATTCATTTATTTATTAATTAACTTAGAGCAGGTTTTTTTATTCAACTTTCACATTTTTAAAGGGCTTTTAGTAACCTAGGTTACACTAGTGTGTGCATGTTCATTGAGTGGAGCTGGTGCAATTAAAGTCCCCTTATCGATCATCACTTTAGATCATCAGGGCACAAAACAATAATATTCAATTACTCTTAATTTAAAAAGGTCAGATGTTTATGTTAAATCAAAACTCTTGGACTGTGAGCAGATTATGTGTTTGTGGTTTTGTTTAAATGATAAAGATGAAGACATCAGAGGTCTTCTTAAGAAGTTATCAGTGGTATTACAATGTGCAACAGTTTTAGCTTCAGTTAAAAATGTACACCCATTTTTTTTTCTATGTGTTGTGGTGATAAACAGTATGGCTCACTTTAGTTTTAAGTCACTTTGAGCTCTGGAAGCAGAAGGTCATACTTTAAGTCTTGTAGAGGTTTTAGTGACGTTTGGATTAAAACACTATTTGACCATGTGTGAAAGACAGCCTTGATTGTATTGTGATATCTTTTAAATGGCTTCATTGTTGTAATGATTGTTATGATAATTTTCAGATCAGGTCAGACTGGGATTCAGAGCGGAACCTGCACTACACTCTGCTGGGTCCCGGGGCCAGTCAAGAACCAGTAAACCTGTTTGTTGTGGATGACGTTTCTGGACTTGTGTATATCCGAGGAACACTGGACCGAGAGGAGAGAGAAACCTACATTGTGAGGACACAACTCAGCACACAGCTTATTACACATCTTTCAATCCAACACTTTACCATTCTACTCATTGTAGCTTCACATGGCAGCAAATTAACATCAGCAGTTGTTGATGGCAGAAGGAGATGAATAGATTTATATCAGAATGAGACACACAGGCATACAACACTAAACTCAGACAACTGGTAGTGAGTGAAAGCATAGAGATGTTAGCAAAGCTCCAGAGTCTTTCTCAAGAGAAATATTCTGCATTGTATATTCCATTTTTGCTTGAGCATCAATGGCAAGTCCCATTGCAGGGAGAAGGCACCATTCATCAGTTGTTGTCTCCTAAACCCCTGCAAGAATCACCTCACAAGAGGGTGGGCAAAGACCAGTTGCCAAAACCCTTGTGGCAGGAATAAACAGCTGCTCTGTACACTTTAATAGTGGCATGAAACAGCCCTCCACCCAACAAACACTTCAAAAAAGAAACAATAGAACCACCTGCACACGACAGGGGGTCTAGCCTCCTTTCCTTGCACCAGTGTTGGAACCCTAACCATGTTGCCTTGTAGCAGCCAGTTGGGGATCCCACTCTTGCCAATTGTATGGTCCGCACAACCTGCACAAACAGTCCAGCTCTCCTGAGCCTGTCTGAGAGGTTGACCCAGAGTGGACAACGCGCATATCATACCCACCTGCTAAGACAGAGCCCTCCAGAACTGAAGCATGGTTCAGGGCTGGGCCATCATGCATCACCGTGGCTTTCCCATAAAAAATGCAGCAGCTGAAAGTGTGTCATTGTGTTTAATTCCTCTCTTCTCCCATGGAGATTGGTGAGGGAGAAAAAGACATAGTGTATTCTTTCTATATGTTATTCAGAGCTGTTTTATCAGGTGACGTGTGTCTTCTGACAACATATACTGAGAGTAAAGTGCTCATGACTGGACACAGCACCTTTAATTCCCTTTGTCTGCTGAAAAAGTGCTATAATAATAATAATAATAATAATAATAATGAAAATAATGCAAGGGGCAGATGGTAGCTCTCCTCCTGTAGCCGATTGAAGTGCTGTGTGACCGATGAGGTCGATCTGAGAAGTCCTGCCGTTAGGATGGAGCAAGTCCCACCCACATGTGACAGGAGCCAACTGTGGCCAGACATCACACAGCCCACTGCAGAGGCAACACCTTGACAAAAACCATGCGAGCTGGATGAGCTGGACCATAGCAAAGATGACTTACCAGCCTGGGTAGGATTGGGGTCTCAGAGTCATTGATCTCAAGCTCTGGTTCATTGTCACTGCACTGACACATTGCATGGCGTCTAAACTTGGGGCAGAGCCCAGCAGGCCTCACAGGGTGATGGCTGCTGAACACCGCTCTCCACATGGTGTAAACCAAGGCACTGATGGGGTTCCTGAAGCAGCGGCTCCATCCTTAGGAAAAGCTTATCATCGCTGTCGCTTAAGAGAACAGGATGGTAGACAGTGTTGTCTGCTGCCTTTTATACTTTGGTGTTTGCACGTATTCAGATTGACACATCCTCATTGGCAGGCTACTTTGATGCAAATTACAGTGGGCAAATGTGTGCATGTGATTAGAGAAAGGAATTACCCACAGAGTCCAGTAGAGGCTGGAGCCTGTGTGAGACTGAACATAAATGACAGCATACACAATAATACATCAGTATTGATTATAATTCTACCTAACTTTGTAAGTTTTAGTCAGTGTAACTGCTAACTTCCTTTTGTATACTTATTTAAGAACTGCAATTCAGGACTTTCACCTGTTGTGGAGCATTTTTTATTTTGAGTATATCTTAATGTTTTCTTTGCCACTGCTCCGCTCCGACATGGAGCCATGAAAATCCAGCGAAATCCCATTTAAAGATGTGTGTGTGTGTGTGTGTGTGTGTGTGTGTTTATTCAGCTGACAGGTGTGGCCACATTTAGTAACGGCAGTACGGCCGAAAACAGAATAGACCTGAGATTCGATGTGGAAGACGACAATGATAATCCACCTGTTTTTGTCCCCGTACCTCCAGCTACGGTCCAAGAGTCCAGTCCAGCAGGTAAAACACATTTTCTGTCACCAAAATACAAGATTCAGAAAAAAAAATGTTGATCACCTCAATTTGCTCCTGTTTGATTGGTTGAGTGGTGTTACAGAGTGAGAAACATGAGTGAGTTCTGACTCTTTATGTAGCCTGGCACCCTAAAGTGCGTCCTAGAGGGCAGACGTTGGTACTCCTTATGTAGGACATGAGGGTCCAGGGCAGTTTTATCAGGCAGTCTGAGGGTATGCTTAGTGCAGCTGTTTAGGAGTTTTCCACAAATTGATCCACCTTGCCTGATATCAAACATTCTTGTGGAACATAGCAGGTCTTTGTTCAGATCTCCCAGAGCCATGACAGGTGGAAAAACACTCTGTCTGACAGTATCAGCTTGTTTCAGCTCTTCACTGAAATTAGCCTATACTGTACTCTGAGTTTTATGGTTACACCATTCCCTGTAATGGAAATATTCTTGATGTCTTGCTCTCTATCTTCCCTTATCGCTCTGTCATGTTTGTGCCATGTAAGTGACACTGAACAACAGCTTATACTCAAAAGGGCGCAGACTAGTGAACTGTGGCCACAACATTGATGTCCTTTTAAGAGCGATCAAAAAGGTTCCCCTGTAATGCTAATGGAGTGTTTGCAGAGACCAGTTCCATGTCACAGCCCTGTCCTTCAGACTCACTGTTCTAACCTGACTAAATCCTCACATGGGCTGACAAATGAAAGCCTACAATGTAAAAGCAGCACCCATAATTATTAGACATGTGTGGACATTGAAAGGAGGTTAAATATTTGAGATATGATGTGAAATATCCCAGACAGCTCACATACATCTGGCCGACGTCGGCCCAATGTATCAAGTTTAGATCGTTAAGACGTAGCAGGGAGAGCGTTTGCTCATTGCCAAGACGTCGCTGAGACGTCGGCCTTTAATCGAAAATGACCACTACGCGACGTTCAAACGATCAATAAAAGAAGCTGCGCTCAGTGGGCACTCCTTCATTAATATTCATATGCTTTGTACGACCTTTATTCATTTAGGTCGGACCTTTCAAACTACAGATATTTCACCATTCAATGTGAGAAATCAATGCTAACATTCAAAAATAGCTGACCCTATTTCGTGTGTAAGTGTGCACAATGAAGAGACAAAAGTCAATTTGACAAACTTTATTTTCAAATATCCACAAACAATATCTGATGGCCAGTCCGCTTCTCCTGGCAGCCTGCAAGACACAGAAAAGACGATGAGCACATAACTTCAAAAAAAAAAAAAAAAAAAAAAAATCCCAACTTCACCACTGTATTTATTTATTTTTTTTGTTAGCATTTCAGCTGTATTTTAGCCAGATTGAAGGCTTTGAGTCCGTCACTCTGCTTAATTTATTGTTGAAACTGTTAAATAATGGGATCCGGCGTTAACTCCATTAACTGTTAACAGCAGCTCAACAATCAGTCCTTCATCTCGGAAAAACTGCGCTATTACCTGTAGCCACCGGGTCAGTTTGCTTTGCAGAGGAGGAGACCTTGACTGATAAATTGCCCATAAAATCACATTAACAACATACCAAAGGCATCCTTAAACTTCACTATTTCACCTCCGCGCTCCTCTCCGTTCCTCTCACCCACACTTGAACACCTGTCCAGGGCCCCAGAGGTCAGGCCGGGGGGCTGCGGGACCACGGGTGGCAGCTCCGGGCACTTCCACTTTAACCCAAAACGAGTGCTCACAATAACCAGATGAGCAGATAACATCAACTAGGGAAAATAAAATGAAAAAAAAAAACACAGTTGTAGCCTGTTAGCTAATATGAGCTAAACTAGCTAACAGCTAATGAAAGATAATGTTAGCTGGTGGGGACATGTGCTATACACCCAGTTGTGCCTCGCCACTCACCAGGAACCTCTTTTAACGGTCACAGAAGAAACAAAATAGCTATTTTCTGCCAATTTATTTCAACCTGAAACCAACTGCGATGAGATGCAGTGTCCTGCGAGCTCAGTTCCAAACAAACACCGCAGAGATGAAATTCCGCCTCTGTAGCGACTTCCGCATGTGGGCAGACATTCTACGGCACTGGGCCGACCCAAAGCCAACGTAATAGAGACGTTTTATGAGCTGGGACAAAAGAGTATTAAATTTAAAGATATCCGCCCATGCGGCCAACGCTTGACAGACGTTATAAATTCGGGTCCATGTCTTTGGTCCGACAGCCCACTGGTTCGACATCCAATTAGTCTGACTGTCCGCGGTGCTGAACGGCCAGCCGCGACCAGCTCTGGGTCAGCTGGGAAAGGCTTGAGGCGAAGCAGGCTCACGCCTTATGTGTTTGTCACTTTCCTTTTCATTTTAACCCACACCATGATCTTTTCCTGACCCTAACCAAGTGGTTTTTGTGCCTAAACCTAACCAGACCTTAACCACAAGGCATCATGATGATTTCGGAACGGACTTCGGAACAATGAGTTTAATATGGTCGGAACAATGGGCTGTCGAACCAATGGGCAGTTCCCATAAATGAAGGGCCGATGTGTCGTCCTCAGGCCGACGTCGGCCAGCACACCTGTGAAGTGGAAACCATTTCAGGTGACTACCTCTTGAAGCTCATTGAGAGAATGCCAAGAGTGTGCAAAGCAGTAATCAGAGCAAAGGGTGGCTATTTTGAAGAAACTAGAATATAAAACATGTTTTCAGTTATTTCACCTTTTTTTGTTAAGTACATAACTCCACATGTGTTCATTCATAGTTTTGATGCCTTCAGTGAGAATCTACAATGTAAATAGTCATGAAAATAAAGAAAAAGCATTGAATGAGAAGGTGTGTCCAAACTTTTGGCCTGTACTGTATGTGTGCTATCTGGGAAGTTGTTTATATTTTGTTTATAAAGTGTGAGACATGATTGCTGAAATTTTAGCCTTTTTTTTTGTCCTTTTGGAACGCTCTAAACACTGGTACCATACACACGTGCATCAAAAATTAAACAGCAGCTGGTCCGACTGCGTCAGGCCTCTGGCATTACTCCACATTTATGGAAACAGCTTTTATGACATGTTAGTAACTGTTAGCGCTTGTTCCAGCAAGAATGCAAAAAATGGCAAAGCTATATAAAATATATTTTTTCCATGCCAATATTTCCTTTTTCAGTTCAAGTTTTGTTTATGATGGTGCTTTTTTTTTTTTTTCAAAGCCAAAATTTACTGTCATTGTCCTATAGCTCCATACACAAGACCATTGTTAGTTGCTGCTCTGTGCACACAAGAGGACACCACAAGCTACTCTATTTTTGTGACCACAGCGGCACGGCCATATCACAATCAAGTGCACCCTTGCTTAGAAAGGATCACACTTTGACACACACACACACACACACACACACACAAACAAACACACACAGTAGTGTAGTGGAGGGTATACATGGGTATACCAGCTTTCTTTTCAGGCCTTTACGGTATACCCACCTATCAGCCAAAATGTCACTGGGATAGAAGAGTATACCCACTTCCATGATCACCTGCCCATCTACCTAAGTAGTACACTACATCACTGCACACACGTTTCAGACTCAATGTATCATTCAAAAAATGCCATATCTTAGTCCACTCTGAAAATTCTGTTTTAGGGACAGTCCTCATGGCAAGATAGCAGAATATTACAATAATGTTATCTATCAATTTACTAAATGTAGACTTCCCGTTTCTTGTTCAGGGACTCTGGTTGGTAGGATTACAGCTACAGATGCAGACAAGGCCAACTGTTCCCATTCAAAGATCGCCTACAGCCTTGTGAAGCAGGAGCCCTCTGATGGCCGAAAGGTCTTCTACATAGACAGAAAAACTGGATCCATCTACGTCAAAGAAAACACCATAGACAGAGAGGTCAGAGGCATTACTGTGGTGGGAACACCATATGACTTACATCAACTATAATACATTTGTAGACGGTTGATAGGATTGTTGAGCTCTTCTCTTATTGAATTATAAACCTGTGTTGGTGCTTCTGTTGTCCACAGATACACAGCTCCTACACTTTAACAGTTGAAGGAACTGATATGGATGGAGCTCCTGGAGGCAACACAGGCACTGGGACAATTCATGTCAAAGTAGTGGACATCAATGATAATGTACCCAAGCTGGAAAAAGATGAGGTACCTACTGTGACTTTGTTTCCATAGAAATGATTGTAATATATGCTTTATACATGTATATAAATCATATATGTTTTACTATTACATTTCAGAGGGAAATACTGTACTTTTTTTAATCTCATGATGTGACAGATATAGTTGCCTCTCAGGTGATGAAACTACTAAGGAGAGGTGGGGCTAAAATCTAAGAATCGTTTATATTGAATATCTTTTGGTTGGGAGCAGTAACTTTGGGGTGTCTCTGCTGGTTGCCGGGCAACTTTTTGTGTAAATTATCAATATAAAATGGTAAATCTTGAGCTTTAAGGGTGCTGCAGGGCCGGTGTGGGGAAGTTACTGTGAAAGTATACATATAGTAGCTTTACAAGCTACCAGTTATGGTGCACTGGAAGAAACTGAGCAAATCTACACAGGGAGAAATCTATTTTGGTAAGCTAAAGCTACTTAGATGTAGCAGCTCAAACTACTTTGTTAAAAACAAATTGACAACGTACATATGACTCAAATTTATAACAAACTGTAATACAAAAACAATTGCATACCAGCAAAAAACACAAAGCCAATCAACTGAGTTTACTGTCAAAAGTGCCCACTTGTTCACGAATCATTAAAAAAAAATAAAAAATGAAAACAGATAAATACTCCATTATTCAGATGAATGTGCAGGAATGTTAACTCTGGTTTTGTAGATAACTACACAGAACATGGAAAATGGTAATTTAGTTACTCAAACTGCTCAAATCACTATAAATAAGGTTGAACCACCAGCAAGCTGTAATTGAAGTTAAACTACTACTTTAATCCATGATAGAGGTATGCCCGTTTACAGCTTTTGTGCTAAGCTAACTTGTTTATATCTAAAAGATGTGAAAGTCACACTGGTCTTCTCATCTCTTTACCCCACAAAGCAAAAGAGTAGATTTCCCCAGATGTTAAACTATCTCATAAAGCTATTCAAGTGACAAGAGTAAAATGAAAATTATTTCTTGTTTAGTATGCAGGCAGCATCGTGGAGAACACAGCCCAAGTGGAGGTCATGAGGTTCAAAGTGCTGGATGATGATGAAGAGAAAAGTGACAACTGGCTGGCTGTTTTTGATATTGTCACTGGAAATGAAGACGGAATATTCAGCATAGAGACTGATCCCAAAACCAACGAAGGTGTTCTGATGCTTGAAAAGGTAAATCTCTCTCTATCACAACACCTGAACATCCTCAATGCAGTATGCGAGTTAGAAATGAAATGCTCTAGCATTATTAGTTGTATGGTAAGATGGGACATTAAAGAGGTAATGTGCCGCAAGGAGTCATTTTGACTTTAGTTATCTGCATATTTTATAATTCATATATTGCATACTATCTCATCAACAGCATGTGTCTGGATTTAAGAATGTATTTTCTACCCAAGAGGTCTGTCCACCTCCTAATCAATGATGGTTTCTCTCCACAGCTTCATAGAAAATAACTAACATGTAATTACTGTAATTAGAAATGTATAAATGCACAAGCTTCAAGTTTGTTATAAAAACATGTCTGGTACTAAAATTGAAAGACTTAAAGACATCCAGTATCTTTGTCAGTCTATGTTTGGCATATATTGCTGTTTTGTCTTTTAATGCCTGATGACTAAACAACATGTCAAGAAAATTTGCGGGCAACAGTTTGTGGTTTATGAACAATGTATTCATGTTAAACAGTGACCTGTGAGAGTAAACTGATGCGGCTTTGTTCTGTTTTCCCTTCCAGCCTGTTGATTTTGAGGAAAATCCTGATATAAAGCTCGGAGTGGTAGTATACAATGTTGCCCCAGCTATAGGAGATGGAGACGATGATGGCGATGGTCAAGGAGGAGGAGGAGGAGGAGGTGGAGGAGGAGGAGGAGGGGGTGGTGGTGCAGGAGGTGGCGGAGCAGGAGGAGGAGGAGGCGTATCTATTGACATGGCAACTGGGGCAGGAGCTGGGACTGGGGCAGGAGCTGGTAGCACAGTTACAAACCAGTCCAATAAAAAGAGGCCAATCAAAGGCAAACTTTACCCAGTGAACATTGCAGTGGTGAATGAACCTGAGGGGGTCGCATTTAAACCCCGAGTAAAGCCTGTCTCTGTTTCGGAGAACCCAGAGGAAAATCCATTAATGGAAGTGATTGGTGTCTTTGCAGCTACTGACAGTGACACCGGAAAGCCTGCAGAAAATGTTCGGTGAGATGAATTTACTTTACTTTTAACTTAGAGGCTCTATAAATTATTTTTCATAAAACATCTCAGATTATATTGTGGACATCCTGGCTTCTATGTTATGAATTCTGTTTGGCATTCTGGTCAGAATAGAAAATACTCAATATTTTTCTTCTTGTCATCCAATCCATTAAAAGACTAAAACCAACGATGAATGTATCTACTGACAACTATTGTGTGCATGTGTAAAAAAGCCTTATACTGGTATATCTTCTTCCTGTGTGCCATAGAGTTCCATTAAAACACACCAGTAAGCCACATTGTTGCACTCAGTGACATGTTTTTAACATTTGATAAAAATCACAGTTTATTTAACAGCCACCATAGGGCGAGCACATGCTGGGACTGAAACCAACTGGAAAACGCGTAGTCAAGCGCTTGGTGCTACTCTTGTGTCTTTTCTGTGCCAGATTTCAAGAGCGTGGTGGCAGGTTGCGTCTGAGGTTGCTAAGTAACCTTAACTGTATCATCATCAGATCATAGCCCATTTACCTGAAATCCTGAGTGCAGAGCTGATCTTCTTCCAGGCGTTGTTTGTGTGTAGGTCTGTTGTCTGTGGGACAGATGTAAAGTTCTGGTAGCCCTGCATTAAAATGATCAACTTCTTCCTCATATCGGTGAAAATTGTCAGTCATCCACATCATAGTAATCAGTTCAGTGCAGTGCTGCACTGCACTGAACTGAAGAAGCTTCTTGGATGAGAAGCAAAACATTTTCAAGAAACGCAAGCAAGTCCAGTTGCCTACGATATAGCACTTATGGTTCTTCCTTATATTTATCACAGACTAATATTTACGGATGAAGGGAAAGATGTCCATCGGCTGTGATTGGTTGTTCCTTGTGCTGCTGCGTTCCAAAAGTTGAACTCAGTTTATCTCAGGGTGCAGCTGTCGTGCCCTGAAAAATAGGTGCTTGTGAACGTGTGTACACTGCTGCCAAGTGTCTTCATTTAAAAAAATGGATTTAAAGAAAAATGCGGCATGTGCACGGCCCCACTCTGTGAGGCTGTAATGCTTATTGTGAATAAAACCAAACTGTTGGATACATAACCCAAAATAGTGGACAAATTAAAATTTCAATCTGATGATGGTGCTAAATGAAAAGTCAGCAGATTGCCAAAGTTCCCAAAACCCACAAACATTACATGGTGATCTATCCAACAGTGAAGTGTGTTCCTTTTGGTGCCGTTCGGGGAAAAGTCAGAGGATCATTTGAGTCAGTGAATTAATCCTCTGGGCACCATGAATGTCTGTACCAAACTGAATGCCTTTCTATCCAGTGGTTGTTAAAATATTTCAGTCTGGACCAAAGTGGTAGACAGACAGACAGACAGACAGACAGAGATATCTGAAGATATCTGTGAGGTGTTTTCAAAGCTCTACATTGTCACTAGGACCCAATGAGTTTAGTGCTGAGGGCCACAGGCAGAAAGTCAGAAAGAGATTGACTAATATGTTGATTTTGTCTTTTCATTGGATTTGTTGACAGTAAGAAAAGTAAAGAAGAACATCTTTAAATAGATTGCACAGGATTTGCTTAGTATTTAACTCTTTGTATTTTCTGTGAAATTTAGCAGCAGAGAAATTATTATTGATGAAATCATTTTATAACCACTAACTTTAAACATGTGACTGCTTTAACTGTTGTAATCTAAAGAGTAAACATTGCTGCACATTGTTTCCACAGATATGCTAAAGGCTATGATCCTGACAACTGGCTATTGATTGACCCAGAAACAGCAGAGATTAGACTTCAAAAGTTCCCCGACAGAGAGTCCCCATTCTTGGTTAATGGAACTTACTACGCTGAAATACTGAGTCTGAATGAGGGTAAGCTCTGATTATGGATAGCAGGTGTAGCCTTCAATTTAGAGAGCTGAGCTCAAGATGGTTTGGGATGCAGAAAAATTTCATTTTTCAAAAGTTTCATTCAGACACGTTGCTTTAGTTTTCTAATAGACAGTTCACTGTAAAAGTTTAGATTCCATTAAGTTTGTACTTCCTGTTGTGGATGACTTATGTTTTCTAATTCCCACAGACAGGCGTTTTGGGATTGCCACTGGAACAATAGCGTTGAAGGTGGGAGATGTGAATGACGACTGCCCCACACTGACCAACCACGTGGAGTACATCTGCTCAGACACTGAGGTGATTAATGTTACGGCAGTGGATGAAGATGGACATCCAAATTCAGACCCTTTCACCTTCCTCCTTGTGGAAGAGGAGAGCCGAGGAGATTGGAGGGTTGAACCTTTAAATGGTACGATACTTTATTTCTATTATTGCCAGTTTGCATGATCATTGTTTTGTATCAAATGGTTTAATCTTTAATTACCTTCCGGAGGAAGTAGTGATTGTTTATAACAGTGGTTAGAGTGGCTGGCAGCTCCTACTGTTTTGATGAACATTTTCAAAAAAATAGTGAATCCTTTCCTAGTGCCCCAGCTTAGAGTCAAACTCGGTGATGTTGGTCAGTGGTGGTACAAGGTGAAGCTCAAGTTTAAATTATTCCCCAAGGCCAGATCTTTCAAGTGTGGCACACAACACTGTCTAGTCAAATGACTCTGCATCCAGGGAGAATTTCATTACTGATGATTTTTGTGTCTGTATTGCAAAGTGATAGGGAGCCATGGCTGGATGCTGATGCTGGGGTCCTTGTTGGGTTTTAAGAGGAGTGAGATGATTGTGGTGTCTCAATTATTCTTCTGTTCTGTTATAAAGGGGTTACAACACAATCCAGAAATGTTTGCAGAACTCAGCAGGGAAGCCTGGTAGTTTATAAGTTGGAATTTGGTTGGGGGAACTTTCCATTTAGTGTTTTTATATTGGCCAGACAAAACCAGTGTTTATGACCCAAGGGAACATTAACAGTAAAAAAAGGAAACATTAAAATCTAAAAACCCACTAGTTATTCCTGCACTGGAAAAGTAAGACTCCTCTCATTCTTTCTTGCTATTAGGTACCAGTGCATCCCTCAGGGCTTTGAAACCTCTTTGGGCTGGTCACTACCAGGTCGCCTTCATCATCCAGGATCAGCAGGGCCTCGCCTGCCCAGACCCTCAGTACCTGGACCTACATGTGTGCTCCTGTGAGAAAGGAGAGACCTGCAAACCAGCAGGAATAGATGGTCAAACAGCAACTCACAAGGAATCCTCATCAACATTTGGAGGACTGGGAGTGGGGGCACTGATCCTGGGACTTCTGATGCTGCTTGGTGAGTATGAGTTATGTTAGCATGACTCAGGAATGATGCCTATAATACACCTATATAATCTAGGACTGTGATTCAACCAGAACGAACATTTAAAACCTCTTAAGAAACAGTATCCATGGGCGGGATTCCTTTGGATTACACTTGCAGTAGTTAACTGTTATAGCATATAACATTTTACATCTTCACCATCAGGTGGCTGGTCTCAGATATTTAATAATTTACTTGCTACTTTATACCAAAGAAACTGATCCTCTGAAATGTGTTCACAGTCAGATTTGTGGTGTATTCAGAGTGACTCACACACTTCTTGAGCAGGTACTTTGAGTGTGCAAGAAAACATTTTTTGAACCTTAGAAATTTAATATTTCCGCCTTCTGTTGTGGTTGTGTTTTTCAGCTGTAGGTGTCTTACTGATAACCTGCTCATGTGGAGGAGAATCAGGGAGCTTCTCTGATTTCCCTTTTGATACCACAGAACACTTGATTGTCTATCATACAGAGGCCCGAGACGAGAACAAGGTAAAATATACAGTGTGAAGCAGACTATTCTGTGCTCAGGAGTACACAAAGACTGAGGCATGCAGTGCTAAAGTGCTAAAAATGAGTTAGTTGTACATGAGGCTTGATAAGGTGTTTGTTTGAATTTTGTTATTGTGGTGAACAAAAAGTCATAAGATTGAGCATGACAGCCACATCATCTGCATTCATCACTAACACCGGAGCACCACAAGGTTGTGTGTTAAGCCCATTCTTGTCCACACATTACACCAATGATTGCACCAGTTCATCACCTATCACTACTTACCTCAAATACGCAGATGACACTGCTGTTGTGTATGCTGTTGTCTGATAGTGTACAGTGTTGGGAAAAGAAGTAAAGTAAAAATGAGCTGATGTAAATATATTTACCAGCCTGGTCCAAGCCTTAGGGCATTTTCATATTAGTTACGATCAATTCATACCATGCCCAACAAGACCAACGGCATAGTGAAATGGCTTTGCAGCTCTACTAGACAACAGCTACTCATGCTAAATAACAGTCCACTCCTGTGTTTTGGCACATTTGGTTTTCAAACCTAATGTGAACCGTACCCAATTACACATTAAACTTACTCTAGACCACCTTTTCAGGTGGATTCTGAAACAGAACAGTATACAGTGCAGTACACAATGTTCACACTTACCAAATGAACTTTACTTTGTGGTTAAGTGTACTCAGATTCAGGCCCAGGTCCCCGATGTGAAAGACTTCTTGGTCTGCCAACAAATACACTGCAATTAATGCTTATTGCCATAGGTGCCACCCAAGAGAATGAAGCATAGAGATTCAAGAGTGTAACTTTAATAGCAATACAAATGGAAACCTTTTAAGAAAAAACATCTGTTTTCTTACAAATGAAAAGTTGAAATCATAAGAAATAGAAAACACACCCTGCAATACACTCAGGGAATGTATCGTTATAGCCTTACTGGCATGACCAGTAACTTATCGTGGCTAATGTCAGCTAATGTCAGCTGATGTCAGCTGATGTCAGCAACCTCTAAATAAATATCGATGTGTAACTGACATAACTGATTTACTTCACTGATGTTATGACTCTACTGTTGCAGTGCATTCCAGCATGTCATAAATTAAAAAAAAAGTAAAACAAGAAGTGAGTTGGGCTCAGTGATCTAAAGATTTGAACATGTCTGTATATTGAAATTGTGATTTAAATTATGGGGTGTAAGGAAGCAGTTATCAGTTTAGTGTTTACATCTGTGTGCGGACATTAGGCCAGTGAACGTTGAAGCATACATACAAGACATATGCAACCTAAGGTCATCCTGTTTGTTTTCCTGAAGGAAGAGTGTAAATGGTAAGATACTTAAAGATTTGCACTGGTTGTCTAGAGCACCAAATGTGCTAGGTCACGACCTACTGCAGCACAAAAATAAATATGTCTATTCACTTCCTGTCCTTCCTGTCTATTCACTTCCTGTTCCAGGAGGTCGCTCTGCTTAGCTCTCCAGTCCAGACAAAGTCTGCTGCCGTAGCTAAATTATCAGCCAGCAATGGAGCTTCCAACACCAAAGCAAACACAACAGCTACCTTAGGGAATCTTGAGATGGGCTCTGCCAACAAAACCTACACGTCGAGGTATGGGGCTGATAGCAGAAACTGGGAGAGCTTTGGAGAATCTAGAGAGACCCAGACAGAGTTTTTCTCGATGGAGGAGGAACTGTTACGGTTTGGCAGCATGGATGACATTACCCTCTCTGATGTGTTTCTGCATCAGTACTACTCTCAGGTGAGGGACCATCGGCCTGATGCTGTTTTATTGTAACTCTTATCTTCAATAGTTCTGTCATTGTTAATAATACTAAAGTAACCAAAGTCATTGCTGGGATGCAGGAATTTGGTTGTACAGTACAGGCCAAAAGTTTGGACACACCTTCTCGTTCAATGCATTTTCTTTATTTTCATGACTATTTACATTGTAGATTCTCACTGAAGGCATCAAAACTATGAATGAACACATGTGGAGTTATGTACTTAAAAAAAGGTGAAATAACTGAAAACATGTTTTATATTCTAGTTTCTTCAAAATAGCCACCCTTTGCTCTGATTACTGCTTTGCACACTCTTGGCATTCTCTCCATGAGCTTCAAGAGGTAGTCACCTGAAATGGTTTCCACTTCACAGGTGTGCCTTATCAGGGTTAATTAGTGGAATTTCTTGCTTTATCAATGGGGTTGGGACCATCAGTTGTGTTGTGCAGAAGTCAGGTTAATACACAGCCGACAGCCCTATTGGACAACTGTTAAAATTCATATTATGGCAAGAACCAATCAGCTAACTAAAGAAAAACGAGTGGCCATCATTACTTTAAGAAATGAAGGTCAGTCAGTCCGGAAAATTGCAAAAACTTTAAATGTGTCCCCAAGTGGAGTCGCAAAAACCATCAAGCGCTACAACGAAACTGGCACACATGAGGACCGACCCAGGAAAGGAAGACCAAGAGTCACCTCTGCTTCTGAGGATAAGTTCATCCGAGTCACCAGCCTCAGAAATCGCAAGTTAACAGCAGCTCAGATCAGAGACCAGATGAATGCCACACAGAGTTCTAGCAGCAGACCCATCTCTAGAACAACTGTTAAGAGGAGACTGCGCCAATCAGGCCTTCATGGTCAAATAGCTGCTAGGAAACCACTGCTAAGGAGAGGCAACAAGCAGAAGAGATTTGTTTGGGCCAAGAAACACAAGGAATGGACATTAGACCAGTGGAAATCTGTGCTTTGGTCTGATGAGTCCAAATTTGAGATCTTTGGTTCCAACCGCCGTGTCTTTGTGAGACGCAGAAAAGGTGAACGGATGGATTCCACATGCCTGGTTCCCACTGTGAAGCATGGAGGAGGAGGTGTGATGGTGTGGGGGTGTTTTGCTGGTGACACTGTTGGGGATTTATTCAAAATTGAAGGCACACTGAACCAGCATGGCTACCACAGCATCCTGCAGCGACATGCCATCCCATCCGGTTTGCGTTTAGTTGGACGATCATTTATTTTTCAACAGGACAATGACCCCAAACACACCTCCAGGCTGTGTAAGGGCTATTTGACCAAGAAGGAGAGTGATGGAGTGCTGCGGCAGATGACCTGGCCTCCACAGTCACCGGACCTGAACCCAATCGAGATGGTTTGGGGTGAGCTGGACCGCAGAGTGAAGGCAAAGGGGCCAACAAGTGCTAAACACCTCTGGGAACTCCTTCAAGACTGTTGGAAAACCATTTCAGGTGACTACCTCTTGAAGCTCATGGAGAGAATGCCAAGAGTGTGCAAAGCAGTAATCAGAGCAAAGGGTGGCTATTTTGAAGAAACTAGAATATAAAACATGTTTTCAGTTATTTCACCTTTTTTTGTTAAGTACATAACTCCACATGTGTTCATTCATAGTTTTGATGCCTTCAGTGAGAATCTTCAATGTAAATAGTCATGAAAATAAAGAAAACGCATTGAATGAGAAGGTGTGTCCAAACTTTTGGCCTGTACTGTACATCAAAGTCAGATTGGTTGACACAAACAGTTTATTAACAGTTTATTCAGATGATCAAATTCACTTTATTTGGAGAACAAACTGAAATCCATTCTCACCATTATGTTAATGGTCCTTCAGGGCTGCTACAACAAGCTAACTGTTTCGTGGGCTAACATGGCTGGCTACTGCTCGATGAAAATAGGGAATCTAAAAGAAAGGAAATTTGAACTGTGCTGAAAATGCCTAAAAATGTATTTTTTAGTGATATGTTTAAAAAAAAGTTTGCAATTTGCTCGTTATTTCTTTTCTAATATGGCACTGTATTAACCTATTGCTTCTATTGTACTGACATACAATACAGTGGACGAGAACTGAAGATGAAGTTTGGAGAGTATCACTGGACCAGTGTGATATTAATATTGTATTCTGGTTGTTGATTGGTCAGGGAGAGCGTCCTCCCTTTGAGTATCATTTTACATATTTTGGTCAATCACAGAATAGCATGGGGAAAAAATTTACATATACACACTGATTTAACAAAACCCGCCCTACAGAGGACAGCAGGAGCCCATACTCCTCTGCCCCACACCACCACTTCACACAGGCTGCCCTTCCCCCTCTTGCTTGCCCTGCAGATGTCGCTGTTGGAGTACTTAAATCAGAACTGTAATAGTGGATATTTTCAGAAGAACAGAGAAAACATACTGAATAATTGACACCGGGATTAGTTAATGCTTTATTCAAGCCAGTTACTCTTTTTTTACATTTCGATCCCTTAGTTACAATAAAGGAGGAGCAACCTCATCTGCCTCTGTGGACCAGCCTCCTCTGCTGGATACTCTAAACTAATGTCAAATGAGTGAACAATGACAGTGAACCTTCATGTTTCACACAGGTGTGCAAGCATTCATAAAAACCCACAAAATCTGTTTCTATAAATTTTATGTGAACTTTTCAGACAAAATGCTTTGTGTCAAACAACTTTCAGTGTGCAGATTATTTAAGCTGTGCTGGAGTAACATGTCTTTCATTGTCTCTGTCTAAATATGTTGCAGAAAGCAAGATGTGCTGCAAAAAATCAAGCAGCAAGAGATTGTGTGCTTGAGTATGAGTATGAGGGCCAGGGCTCCCCTGCTGGCTCAGTGAGCAGCTGCAGCCTCCCAGACTCTGAAAAAGACCAGCACTTCCTTGATGACCTCGGACTGAAGTTCAAGAAGCTGGCTGACATCTGTTCTCCTCCTCGACCTCCGACACCTCTAAGTTTTGTCACCCAGCAGGTGGATAAAGTTGACCACATTGCTGTGCCCTTATTGGAGAGTAAACCACCCAGCATCCAAGGCAAGATCCAAGAGCAAACCCAAAATGTCAGCAGCATCAGCAAGTCATCCACTGGGGTCATGGGCTTAAGCAGAAAATCCTCCAGCAGCATGCATGGGATAAATACCACCAGTGTCACAGGCTTTAATAGATCAGCTTCCGGGAGCATGCATGGGCAGTTTTCACACTGTACCAGCAGCATGCCTCATTTACCCCATATTGGTCCTGTTACCACAGCCATGATGCCCTCTGTGGCTCAGATGCTTGTACTACAGCAGCAGCCAGTCTACTACACCACCACCCCTATGATGCAGCCAATGCATTACATAGTCCAACCACAACTTCAGAACACAGTGCTTCTGGCTGATGGGCCTGTCAGCAACCTGCAGATACACGGGGGAAACACTGCTGGGACTTTCAGTCTGGGTAGAAGAAGAGGCAACAGAGTGATGGAGGATAACCAGGGAGTAAAGACATGGACATTTTCTCATGGCCCAGGAGTAGTGATGGGTGTCAGGAAGAGTGGTCGAAGGATCAAGTCAGAGAGTGGAGAGGCAGCTGAGACATGTCATAGTAGTACAGGGATGCAGACAGGTCGATGCATCAGTTTGGGAGCAGTAGAGTTTCCTGCGTGAACAGCTGTTCACGCAGGAAGGAGACATGAGAAGAAAGTCGACAGCATCAGCAGAGGCAGTTTTCATTTATTAGTATTGACCCCAACACCACCTGGCTTTTTAACTGATGATTGCTTAACATTGTTGGACCATATTAACATTGTTGAAAAAATGGAGCAGGGTATTACAATCATGAGAAAGGTCTCCTCCAGTGTAACACTATCAATTCAAGAGAATCAATCGCTTTCTCATCTAGGGTGCTGCAAAAAATGTATATTTTGAAGCTCCAGCTTGCACAAAATAACACTGAAAGAACTAATGTCGCAAAGATGCACCACAGTCTGGCACGGTATACTGCTGAGGAGAAATTTACCGACAGTCTTCTCACATTTACTAGAAATGCAATCCTAGATGATAAACTGAACAGACAGATCTGTTGTATAATCACCATATTACACAGGTCACCATGGGTCATCTTGTTCTCCCTAAGCCTAAAACAAATCAACTTAAAAATGCCAATGGATATTAGTTCCTACAGAAATTACACAAGTGAGAAGCAAATATTTATTTAAAAAAACACTCAAACTGTAACTGATGAGAGGGACCGCACAAAATCAATAATGCTATGCTGTTTTCTTATGGGATCTCAACACACTACTTTGTTTAATAACCTCTATAATTTTTATTTCCTTGCTTTTATTTAAAATATGTAATTTTGTTTAAGTGATATTTTGATTACTTTGATTTCCAGTATGTTATTTTGGGCTAAACTGATAGTGTCAGTCTACATTTGTATGTGTGCGTTATGTCTGTGTGCTGTCAGTGTTTGCATTACTTTATGTGGACCCCTGGAAAATTTGCAACTGCTGAAAATATCGAGTTCTTTTGTAATTGTGTAAATAATCATATGTAAAGTATTGATGTACAGTAAGTACAAAAATAGACCTGTGAGGTTTTTGTGTACCATCTCACTGTGTTTTAGTGCAGTTAAGAAATATACACTTCTATACTACTATACAAGTAGCGATTAAAGAGTCTCACAAGACTCACATTGAATCCTACAACGAATCCCATAATTATTGATAATTTAATAACAATAATAACTTTATCTGAAAATCACAGAGGTTGTTCATCTACACTGTACACTGAATTAACTACTGAACAAGGAGCAACTTGTTTGTGGTGAGTGCGATAGAGCAGAAAGGGATATCCTGAGATTTCCAACCATAAGGTGCCAGTTTATTTTTCTCACACTTGATGGCAGTAGAGAGGTACTGTTGTTTATCATGAATCTGAGGAGGACCATGTGTGCAGCAGAATAATACATTAAAACACTAGATGAAGCTGTTCACCTTGTTTACTCTGTCATGTGATACTGTTTCTGATATGTTGAAATACTGGCACTGATTAGCATAAATTAATCCAGCAGATGATATGGAGGACACACTGGAGACATTTTGCTCTTTAAAGGCTCATTGTTAACAGTCACTTTAGCACTTACAGGGTCTGGTGGAGGGAAACTAATAATAACACATCATAAGATGTACAGTATGTTTTAGGTTGTTGTAGGTGGTAGGTGTATGTATTTCAACATTAAAATATATGTTGCATAAAAAGGAGTTAAACTGTTTATATGCGTTTGTTATTTTAAAAAAGACAATTTATGAAGCTGTGCTGTTATTTCTAAAGCTATTTCAATGCATTATGGTTGACTGTCATTTTTTAGGCTGTGATCTGTGGGGCCATCGTTCTGTTACAGTCAGTGTTGACAAGGGTTAATTGTAACTAGAGTCTCCCTTTGCTGAAGAACTCTTCCTGCGTTTGGTTCAAACTTGTCTCTTTGCAGTGTATCTGACAGCTATTTGAGCAGAAGCTCTGGCCTTTTGCCTAAGACCTGTCGCCTTATGTTGTCTTGTTCTTCTTGTTTACAACCCAAATGTCAATAAAGAAAAAATGTTCATGAGTCACTGAATTGGCATTGATTTTAATTTGTATGGTTATGTTATAAAAGAAAGTTTGTATTTTACTAGTAAGTGTATAGTGTATATAAATAATGATTAAGAATATCACCATTACATATCACATATATACATTTATTTCAGTTGATGGCAACAACCTTACAGTACATTCCAGTGATGCTGCATTTGTGTTTCTACATATTTCAAGTGTTATGTTTGTTTTTAATGGAAGAAATTAACACAGACTACAGCTAAAGCTTTGATGTGTAGGCTGCGGGAGTTTGAAAATAATGTAGCTGTCACACAAGGCTTTTTTTTATCATGGGTCGACCCAGAGACGGGATCAGGAAAGCTCACTATAAAATATCACAGGTTTGATCAGGTTCATTAAAAAGTGACAAAGCAGTGTTCTAAATAAGTTACTGATAGTCACACAGACATGTCAATCAGGATTTCTTTTCATGATAACAAAGAGCAACTTCAGGTAGTAGTGATATCTGTTTCCACCTTATTACTGTAATCGTGCTCACCTGAATAACATATTCAGATTCGGGCATATCCCTACCCAATGCAAAGTATGGATATGTACTGCATCAGGGTGCACTAAACGACCATCATCATCACTTGGTGGAAGGCAAAGAATAAAGTATTGTTACAAGACTGCTCACATTGAAAATCCTGGACCAGGAAGCCTCCTGCAAAGATGCAGGTGTTTCCCCCTCCCTGTCTGCAGTGGTGGACATTACATCAGCACTGACTACAGCAAACAGATATCCCATGTCCCTGTCCGTCATGAACACACCCCCACACATTGTCAACTTGTTGCACTCCACTTCCATCTTCACTCTAACATTGCACCCACTCTAACTGATTTTTAATTGATAGTTACAAAAATATCCACCTGAATCTAACACCATAGTGATGCATGGCCAAGCCAACATACTTGTTTTTCTGGGGTTTTTAAAAAACTACAATGACAGTGACATTAAGAAGACATGTCAACCTCTAGCAGTGTCTAACTTGTCTATAGCACTGCCATTGTTGCATTTAGACCTCACTAGTTTCAGCCTTCTGATTACAACGTTAAACACTAATCGTTGTCCACCCGCAGGGCTCATGAATGTTTTTCAACAGAAAAAACGTTGTTTCATGTTATGACTCAGTCAACTCGGTGGAGTGGGTGGATTCCAAGGTGCTAACCCAGGCAAGTTAATTCTGAATTTTTCCTGTCATGGTGAGATGTGATGAACTTTGAACGATCTTGTACGCATATGAGTACATACTTGAAGTTAGAAACCAAATGACCTCATAATATTCGCATGAGGCTCAGGTGGTTTTTCTGATCAGATTGTGTCGGAGGGTAGATGAGTTCCTCAGTTAACACTACTGGACATGTTTAAATTGCTAACGATAATTGACATAATCTGTCATCTTTTTTCTGTGTGTGTGTGTGTGTGTGTGTGCATGTGTGTGTGTGTGTGTGTGTGTGTGTGTGTGTGTGTGTGTGTGTGTGGGTGTGTGTGTGTGTGTGTGGGTGTGTGTGTGTGTGTGTGTGACTGTTAGTGCTGCAGGCCAGCAGCAGACAATTTTCTGTAGAACCGGTTTTCAGCCTGTACAGCATGAATAGAATCACTCCACCCTCATAATCCTCATGACTGAAAAAGACTGACTGAAGTCCTTTGTTTTTCTCACCAGCCATGTCTCATGTAAGAACTAACATGCGGCTGTACATTTGTTGATTAATGTAGTTACAGTGAGCTCCAAGCAACACAGCTAAACACTGATGTTTCTTTTCTTCTCCCATTCTTTCAACACACTTGATCATATTTACATTTTGGAGTTTTTACTCCTAAAGCAACATCCACCAATCTTCAAGAGATGATTCATTTAGTGTAAAAGTCCACTGGCATAAATGTCTGTTAGAACATATTCACCACCACATATTTATGTAACATTTGCTGTTTATTCTATTCTCCATTCTATGGAGTACACAGACGTACACGGTGCAGAGCTCATTGAAATTGAAAAGCGGACGAGGAGAGGGAAGGAGCAGTGTTACTTCGGTAGCACTCGTCTCGTCTCGTCGTCCTCCACTTATTCGGGTCCGGGTCGCGGGGGAAGCAGCATCAGCAAAGAAGCCCAGACAGTCATTTCCCCAGCCACCTCCATCAGCTCTTCCAAGGGAACCCCGAGGCGTTCCCAGGCCAGCCGGGCGATGTAATCCCTCCAGTGTGTCCTGGGGCGGCCCCGAGGTCTCCTCCTGGTTGGACATGCCCGAAACACCTCCCAAGGGAGGCGTCTGGGAGGCATCCTTACCAGATGCCCGAACCACCTCAACTTGCTCCTCTCGATGTGGAGGAGCAGCGGCTGTACGCCGAGTCCCTCCCGGATGTCCGAACTCCTCAACCTATCTCTAAGGCTGAGCCCAGCCACCCTGCGGAGGAAACTCATTTTGGCCGCTTGTACTCACAATCTCGTTCTTTCGGTCACTACCCAGAGCTTGTGACCATAGGTGTGGGTTGGAACATAGATCGACCGGTAAATCAAGAGCTTCGCTTTCTGCCTAAGCTCCCTCTTCACCACAACGGACCGGTTAAGCGTCCGCATCACTGCTGATGCCACCCCAATCCGCCTGTCAATCTCCCGCTCCATCCTACCCTCACTCGTGAACAAGATCCCGAGATACTTAAACTCTTCCACCTGAGGCAGGACCTCCCCCCCGACCTGGAGTGGGCAATCCATCCTTTTCCGGCTGAGGACCATGGCCTCAGACATGGAGGTGCTGATTCTCATCCCAGCCGCTTCACACTCGGCTGCGAACCATCCCAGCGAGAGCTGGAGGTCACTGTTCGATGGAGCTAGGAGGACCACGTCATCCGCAAATAGCAGGGACGAAATCCTCCCGTCACCGAACCTGACACCCTTCACCACTCGGCTGCGCCTAGAAATTCTGTCCATGAAAGTTATGAACAGAACCGGTGACAAAGGGCAGCCCTGGCAGAGTCCAACCCTCACCGGGAACAGGTCCGACTTACTGCCAGCCACGCGAACCAGACTCGTGCT